CCGAAGGCTCGTCCGTGGGCTCGGGGTATTAGTGGGCTCGTCCGTGGGCTCGGGGTCGTCCGAAGGCTCGTCTGTGGGCTCGGGGTATTCAGTGGGCTCGTCCGTGGGCTCGGGGTCGTCCGAAGGCTCGTCCGTGGGCACGGGGTATTCAGTGGGTTCGTCCGTGGGCTCGGGGTCGTCCGAAGGCTCGTCCGTGGGCTCCTCAGTCGGTTCCTCTGTCGGGGCATCAGTGGGCGACGGCTTCTGACCGTTGCCTTCAAGCGGAACGCAGTTCTCTACGCAAAGCCAAGAGTATGAACAACTCGTTCTCATTCCAGTACGATGCACACGTACTGTAGACTTGCCACATCGGCTCGTGCAAGGCGAGCCAGTAGAAGCGCAACATGCAGCCGTCGCCCGAGCAGCTCGAGTAGTCGATGGGGAGGTTGGCCGCCGGCTTGGCCGGAAAGTTGGTCGCGCAGTCGTCGTTCTGGAACACGCGCTTGTCGTCGATCCAGACTTCACACGGACCCTAGTATCACATTTCATAAGCATTGCCAGCCCATGGCCACTGCTTGCATACCGTGTGGCTGGGCACGAAACCTTCGCCCGTGTCGGGGTTCTGCCACGTCATCATGCCATTGGTCGGGATCGCCTTCTTGGCGCCGTTCGTGAGCGTGTTGCCGCAGTCGGGACCTTGCGGGTCGAGCATGTCACGGAGCGTCTTGAACTGCGTCTGGGCCTTGAACGCCTTGTTGAAGTTGGCGACGTTGGTCTGCGGCGAGTCGTCAAACTTGCCGGGGAAGTTGGCCTGGATGCGCGTCACGTACGTCGTGCGCATGACGTTGGGCGTAAACTCGGCCAAGGGGTTGGAGATAATGCCGTGACCGGCGACGAGCGGCGCAGCGAGCGCGAAGAGCGAGACAACCGCGTTGGCACTCACCATTGCTGTCGAGACTGCCAAACAGAAAATGCTACTCGTTCGATGTCGAGAGTGTCGAGTGCTATAGAACCACGAGGTTCGTCATCGAACGTTGCTCGCACACCAAGAAGAGTGGCGCTGGGAATGATTTGCGAACCATACGATTTCGTAGAAGTTGAAAATAAATGTGCGGTCAGGAGAGGTTTGTCTTGAGGCATCCTCGCCTGGATGCCGGCTGGACACGTCTTGTGCTCTCGACTAGGTCTTTGTGAGACGAGATCCGTTGGCCGTGCATACGTGTAACAGCGCACACTGTGAGTAGCTATTTGGTGTTTTGTGGCTGGTCTTGCGACGCGAGACGACCGGTATCTGCGAGGCCACGAGGGTCGTCAGCGTCAGAGTGTTGATAGTTTGGTTGCCCATGAACATGCGAGATAGTGCCGCAGAAAAACGACTTCAAAGCTACGTTGTAGTTGTGGACGAGCGATGTCTGTAACACGGCCTGTCGCTGCCTCGCAGCGCGACTTGCTCTGCGTGTTCCTCACGGCTTAACGGTATTAGAGTGGCGATGGCGATAAGGATTCATTCTCATCAACGCTGACACATCCACCTTTTTTTGGCTGCAGATCCATCGCGACACCGACAACACGTGACAGCCCTTGGTAAATGTTCCCTCTGTCATGCAAAATAGAAGCGCACCAATGACCGTGGTCGAAGGCCTTCCTTTATCGCAATACCATTGGAGCATCCACAGGGTTCCTTGGACCAGGGGTCAATCAATCCCCTTGCGTGGATGTTTGTACACCTGCAGATGCCTTGGTCGTTCGTATCTCTTGCGCTCATGTGCCAACTTGTCACTATGTCCACGCTTCCAACCCCACATGACAACCGAACGAACACTACTAGTTCGATACATGCTCTTCCGTTGAAGCAGGTACATATTTATAGTCTGTCGAACGGGCTATTTAAGCATGGCGAAGCCGGTTTGATGCGCGGCTTGCCGAGAGGCAGGTAGCACACGACCCACGGCCCTCGAGCTTGCTCTTGAGCCAGCACGTGTTGCCGTTCACGGTGAAGCCCTTGCAGCCACCGGTCGACGAGCACGCGTTGCAGCAAGCGCTGACCTTGTCCTGGTCGTTGCCCGAGACCCAGAGGTTCTTGATGTCGTTGCCGTAGTAGTCGACGTTGGCCTGCACGTTGCTGCAC